GGGGGGGAGCCCGCGCAGCACCATCAGCCCCTTGGCGCTCCCGTGGCTTGCGCCCCACTGTGCGGCCGTCACAGCCAGTGTCACAGCCAGTGTCTGCCTCAGGAAGTGCTTCAGGTGTACGTCAAAGCCCTGCCTGGCCTGCTGAAATCCAGGTTTGTGTGTGTGCGGTGCAGATGCCGTCCCCTCACTGGGCGCCCCGCACGTGTCACGAAGTGTGCGCGTTTCAGTTTCTGACCCCGACAGCGCCAGGGCCTTGTCAGGGAGGCAGCTGTGTTTGCTGCTTGTTCTTCCCAGGCTTTAGTCTCAGTTATTAGCCAAAAGATTCCCTTCCTATGTCAGGTTCGTTTTAGCCATTTCCATCAGACGCAGATATCCCAAAACAGGATAAAAATTCATTATTTTAATGAATTATTTTACATTTATTTAATAGAATGTCAGTAGCCATTTAGAATGTTTGTAGAGGTCTTAGAACATGAGAAAATGCTTATAATATTGTACAGATAAAATAAATAAAATTAAAAATAATACTTATTTCTGTGTGAAATATACATATACATAAAACGATATTTATTGGGGCAGTAGCATTGGAGATTGTTATTAGGATTATTTTTATTTTTTTTAGTTTTTTTTTCATAGGTATGTGTGCTCCCTGGGGACAGCCAAAGAAAGGGAAAGTGATGGCCATGCCACCATCCCTTCTCCATTCTCCTCCTGGGATTTTGGACACAAATGCATGTGTATCCAGTGCGAATTTCAAGCCACTGGGTCTGGGACTCGAACCGTGGTTGGCCATGTGGAAATCCAGTGCCTTGACCACCATGCCACCTGCCAGCCCTGGGGATTGTTATTTTTTAAATACCATTTTTATATTTATTACCTAAGCAGCACATATGGAAAAATCTGAAAATACAGTAAAGCAAAAAATAAGAAAATTAAAATTACTTATAATTCTACCATTGAGTTCTTCAGATTTTGTGATTATCAAGTTTGGTACATTTTTTAAAAATTTATTAATCTTTGGACTAGCAGATGGTTTAATGGTTATATCATCAGACTCCCATGTAGTCAACCATGGTTCAAATCCTGGACCCAGCAACTTAAAACTCATGCTGGGCTTGTGTGTGTGGTCTAAGATCCCAAGAGAGAATGGAGGAGAAGGGAATCTAATGGCCATTCCCCTAGGGAGTGATTTCTCATTTTGTCTCTGTCTCTCTCTGTCTCTCCAGCGAGAACACACTCCCTGTAGCAAAAATATCTCTAAAAAAACCATAAATCTTAACTTCTTATGAGTAGACTCATCTTTTGAATTATTGCATATGCCATTTTAAAAATTTATAAAAATATAACCACTATTATCTCCATATGTAACTTTTTAAATGCATTTTAATACAACTGCTTTAATATTAATGTTAAATCACTACCTTAGTGAGTTTTTAAAAATTCCTGATGTTCCAACATTGTTTAAACGTGCATTTTTGCGTAGAAAAAAATACGTCATGACTTTTCCGATAACCCAATGCTGTATGTGTTGATATTTCCAATGATATTGCCAATGATATTTCCATAAGTAAACTGTTTCATGTGTACTTTTTCCTCACAGGGTAATAAGAGATTTGTTTTTAAGTTGTAATGGAGTAAATCAGATCATCGAATTAAATTACTTAGAGGACATTCGAAGCCATTCCTTGAAAGCCTTTGAAACTCTGATCATCAGCTTGGGGGAGCAGCAGCGAGCTGCTTCAGCACTGGGTACTGACGGGGCGAACGGCGGGCAGCAGTCGTGCTCTGCAGACGGGAGCACTGCTCAGACCCCGCAGGCTTGCTCAGAGTCTCCTCGGAGTCTCAGCAGATTTTATGCCAACCTCAGAGAAGCTTATCCAAAAAAGCGGAAGACTGTTTACCAGGATGCTCACATCTACGCCATAAACCTGTTCCTCTGCGTGGCGTTTCTGTGCGTAAGTAAAGAAGCAGAGTGTGACAGGGAGTCGGCCAACGACTCGGAGGACACGTCTGGCTACGACAGCACAGCCAGTGAGCCGCTAAGTCACATGTTGCCTCGCTTGTCTCCCGAGAGCCTCGTCTTGCCCACGCCCGAGCGAGTGCACCAGGCAGCAGACACCTGGTCCGCGTGCCGCTGGGTCTACATGGCGAGCTCAGCCTTCCAGAAACAGTTCCACAGGCTCGGTGGTTTCCGCCTGTGCCATAAGTTAGTGTTCATGATACTGCAGGACCTGTTCCGAGGGCCGCGGGAGGGGCAGCGCAGAGAGGAGGGAGCTGCGGGAGCCAGCGAGCAGCACGGCGCAGACCGGACCTCCCACCGTGAGGTGGCCCTGAGCGAAGACCCACTGTCAGTGACCGGAAGTAGCACCCTCACGCCCCCTGAGCAGGGCGCGCCAACCGAACAGGACGGTTGGCAGACGAGCGCTGAGTGCGTGGGCGAGGTCAACTCGCAGCATGCTCCTTCCAAGAGTGCGGGACAGGTGTCTGCTGCCGAGGCTGCTTCCCAGGAAATAGAGGCACTCTCAGGTCGGGAAAGGGAGACCTCCCTGCAGAGCATCCGGCTTTTGGAAGCCCTCCTGGCTATTTGCCTTCATAGTGCACGAAGTAGTCAGCAAAAAACGGAAGTGGAGTTGCCCAGCCAGGTAGGACCTCATCCTGGGTCCAGCTCTCCGTGGTACGTAGCTTCTTAGAGTTTGAGCTGAGGGTTCTTGCTATTTGCTTTTCCAGAGATCTTAGTGTAAGAAGCTCTTGAGTGCTAGCACAGTGGCCGGTCCTGCCAGGGACACAGGCGTGCACAACCCAGTTCTCTCCCAAGGAAGCATATGGTTTAGTTTGAGTGCAAAACCCCGGTGTGGGAAGGCGTGGGCGTCAGGTGTCAGTTGCACACCAAGGATGCCGTGTGCAGGCTCAGCGCGCAGTGCTGTGCGATGCTACCGGGTGCACTGCCCATGTCCCTTGGGCCAGCTGGTGCCCCCAGCTGCCCTCACCGCATCTGCACCCACAGCGAGGGCGCCACTCACTGCCGGGAGACCTGAGGCCCGTGCTCACAGCCAGAGGTTAGGACAGTGGCTCTGGACTGGGGGCGTGTCTGCTGAGGGTTAGGCTCCAGAGCTCCCCCGAGCATGAGGCTGGGCTGAGTGCCTCCTGAAACTGCGTCTTTGTTGGGCTTCTTCCCTCGCCCCTGCTGCTTCCCTCACACCCTCGCGAGTTTTCTCCTGAGGGCCCTCGTCCACGGAAAAGGAATCTGAGACCTTGGGGCGTGCGGACCTCTTCTTTCCACACGGACTTACCCCAGCTCTTCTGCCGGCCAGCAGGCAAGCCCACTCAGTTCCGGCCTGCTTTCTGCCCCTCCTAACACCCTGATGATCTGGCATTGCTCGGTTAGGACCCTCACCCCCCCCTCTTAATCTCATTTCCTGCCACCTCTACCTGCCACAGTCGAAGCCAGGAAGTCGCATCAAGTATCGATCAATGAGGTTTGTGTAAGAGACGCTTGGTCACTTCACTTTCAAACCAACTGCAGATACACGGACCAGCTTTCTACTTGCTGAGTCTTAACATGCATTTTGTTACTTTTAGTTTTTTAAAGCATGTCTTCAATATAATTTGTGCTTTCTTATCTTACCTTAGAACTTGTCTGTGGAGAATATATTGCTTGAAATGAGGGACCATCTTTCCCAGTCAAAGGTGGTAGAAACAGAATTAGCAAAGCCTTTGTTCGACGCCCTGCTCCGAGTCGCCCTGGGGAGCCACTCTGCAGAGGTGGATCATCACGCAGCAACGGCTGAGAAGGTAGGGGCACAGCGAGTCCTGGGTACGACTAGCTGGGCAGAAGTGGAGGGGGAGACAGGATGCGATGGCCACGGGCAGGGTTCTGTGGCTCCTGTGCCATCCGAGAGGGACAGTATTTCATCAGGGGTCTCCTAGCAGCGGGAGAGCAGGGCAGCGGGCTTTTCTTCATCGAGTCTGGAAATGTCCTGGGGTCCCTCTCGGTCAGGACAGAAATCCATGGTTTGACCTGACAAGGCTTACATCCAACCGATAGTTCCTTCAGTGTGGCTCAGGGATGGTGTATGTTCGTTACCTTACCCTGTCCTATGTGGGTACAGCAGACATTTCCAGAACGCTGTGCTCGCTTGAATTTTAAATCACTCAGCATAAAAATGACTAGTACTCAACATACGAAATAGCAGTCAAGGTCTTTTTTAGTTGTTGGGTTAACTTTTTTTTTCCTAAAAGAACAAACTTTTTTTCCCCCCGAATCTTTGTGAGGCATATTTAGTTCCTTTCCTTCTGTTTTCACGTCTTTTACTTTCAATTAATTGCCACCTATCCTTTGTCTTCATGTAATCTCTCTTCTAACTCCTTGATCTTACCATGTATCTGCTGCTTCATAGTATCTTTATGTTACTACAAAGTATTTTTATGCCGTAACTTAAAAACTTATTGAAATGGTTCTTAATGTCTTCATCATACTCCTTAATCAATTCGCTCAATGTAAATGTTAGAATACCTACTTTAGGGCCCAAAAATCCATAGAGGGGAAGGGGCTGCAGCATGGCCACCCCCTGCAGGGGCTGAATTCTCACTTTTTCTTTATCTCTCCTTTCTTTGATGAGCACATGCACACTATGGCAAAAATAATTTTATTTGAAGAATTTTTTTTAAATTTTATTCATTATCATTACTATTATTTTTAATTTGACCAGAGAGCGGGGGTTGGGGGGAGAGAGAGAGAGAGTAAGAAAGCAAGTCTCCAGATCTGCGATTTGAACTGCAGTCAACCATGTGGAGAGGCCAGTGCCTTAACCACCATGCCACCTGCTGGCCCCCCTGGAAAAATTCTTTTCTTAAAAAAACCCATTGTATTCAACTTTTTAGTAGTGTTGCAATGATATAGTACTTTGAACTTCTTTAGGTGAAAATGTTTTCTAAAACGAGGGTATTGGAGGCATTTTTATAAGAAAAAGAAAACTTCTTGCTACAAGGTGTTACAAAGAAGGTTAATGCTAGAACTCTTGAACTCTGAAATGCTGCTGTTTTTTTTTGAGAGAGAGGTTTTTCCTGTAGGGCATGTGCACTGACCAGCGAGAAAGAAAGGGAGAAATCACTCCCCAGGGGTGGCCACACCACAGTCCGTCCTGCTCCAGTCTCCTCTTGGTAAGTAGGCTGGCTGGGCAGAGCCTGCTGGAGGGCACGCACGCACACCCACTGTGAGTTTTACGCTGCCCTGGGCTGCAGTCGACTTTGTGGGAGCTCAGCGACGTGACTATTATGCCACCTGCTGGTCCCTACACACTCATAATTAGGTAATTACATTCTGGAGCCTTTAGATTAACCCTTTGGAAAAACTTTCAGGTCTCAAGTTATCTATTGGGTCATTGGAAAAGCCAGGACGCATTTCTGCATAGGCACACACACTGCTGGGACCAGCGGCCAGCATAGCGATCTTACCACTGGACTCTCATGTGACTGGCTGTGTTTGAAGTCCCGGAACCGGGGGCTTGTAAATCACGGCGGGCACGCAGAAGTCCCGGAACCGGGGGCTTGTAAATCACGCCGGGCACGCGCAGGTGTGTGTATGTGTGCGTGTGTGTGTGCACACGCGTGCCCAACATCCCAGGAGGAGAATGGAGAAGGGACGCAGCATGGCCCTCCTCCCCGGGGGTGATTTCTCACTTTCCTTCCCACTGTCTGTGTCTGTCTCTTTCTGGCGAGCTCAAACACCCTAAGACAAAAATGTTTGAAAAGAAAAGAAAAATATGTCACGACTTTTCTGACAACCCAATAATTTATGAGACATTTATAAAAATCCTTATGGAAAACTTTTTCTATTAATAACTGTTCAAAACAAAACACGTTAGCATTGTTCTATGAAGTACAGATCTAACTCACTGTGACTTTTAGTCATTTCCTACTGTATAATTAGAATGAGGTATCTTATATAGACTTACCTTTCAGTAAGATTTACATGACTGATAGCTTTCTCTGTCAGAAACCTGCTTTTTTTTGAGGTGTTAAGTTGTATGATAAATCCTGGGAAGTTTCGTTGCGTCCGTTCTCTAACTTACAATGACTGAGACTGATTGCTGAGGTTTTCCTCTAAGAAGGGGATCGGAGTTGTTCGAACTGACTCCGGTGCACTGTCTTACCGATCCGAGCATTCGCCAGACGATGCCTCTGATCTGCACTTCCTAGAGCCGGCAGTCGGAGGAGGAGCCCCCGCCCCAGCCTGGCGACTTTTCCGAAGGAGCCGAGGATTCTCAGAGCTGTCGTCTCAAACTTGTGGTTGAAGAGGAGGGCTATGATGCAGACAGCGAGAGCAACCCTGAAGACGGCGAAGCGCGGGGCGAAGGTACTGTCCCAGACGGCTGGGGCCTGGCGGCAGGCCCCACTATTGGCTGGCGACACTGTGTGGGAATTCCGTGTCGCCGTACAGCTGAGCAAGTGTCCGGCCTTGTTTTATTTACTCTTCACGACACTTACGGCTCTAGTACATGATGGTGAGAGGTATCTTATCACAGACCTCAGCCCCCACCCAGAATGTGGGAAGGAGACAGCCCTGCTTATACATTTTAGGGGACAGAGAAGTGTCAGAAATAGTAGCCTGAGGAGTCAGACCGGCCTGTCACAGTCATCAAGGGGGGAGTATTTCTGAGAGGTCATGTCAACATCGAGCTGACATAAAGACAGGGCCGGCCGGACAGCCTGCGGAAGGGCATGTCACACAGGGTGTCCAGGAAGGCGTGACAGGAGCGGCAGTGTCTCCCTGTGCCCTCCCGGGTGCTGTGCCACATGCTCTAGCCCGCCCGCCCTCCTGGCCTCAGGTGGGCTACACTGCCCATGATTCCTGGACGCCAGGGACACGTGACTGGAATGGCAGAGACGGACTGATGAACACCAGGAGACCCCTGGGAAGGCACCATCTTTTCATGTGCTGGCCTTAGGAATGTTCTGGGCCCTTAGTCTTCCCTGAGTCTGCTCTAGTGTGCACTCCTCAGTCAGTTTTCCCTTCCCTATCAAGTGAGCGGGAATAGTCACTGATCTCTTTTTTTTTTCTTAGAGAGGTTTTAGCTATAGGGCACATTTGCTTGCCAGAGAGACAAAGGGACAGAAAGAGAGAAATCACACACCACCCCCGGGGGGGATGGCCACGAAGCAATCCCTTCTCCTCCATTCTCCTCTCGGAATCCTGGGTACGCATGCACCCAGCATGGGTTTAAGTCACTGGGTCCAGAACTCGAACTGTGGTCGACTACATGGGAGGCCAGCGACATAGCCATTACGCTAACTGCTGGTCCCTAGTTACTGATCTCTTACAGGGCGTGAGGGACCCATAGCAGATACTCTTTGAAAAATGCGTCTTCAGTGGTGGTTCGTACAGGTTTATCATGGCACAGGAATGATTTTATATCCGTGGACTTCCTCCTTTTCCTGTTTGTTAACTAGATCTCGATGTAATCAATTCTGGTCTAGGCAGAATGTATCACTTTTTTAATTGTCAGAGGGCACTGCACTTGCCAAAGAGAAAGAGAGAGAAAGAGAGAAAACCCTCCAGTAGGTCTGGCTATGCCACAGTTCTTTTCCCACCATTTCTCCATCTCATCGAGATTTGGGGCACACACATACCTGGCATGCTTTTCAGGTCTCCAGGGCTGGAACTCAAACCAGGGTTGTCCATGGAGAATCCAATTCCTTCTGCATAGGCTTAATCACTGCAGCATGGGCCAGCCCTATGTATTTCTTAACTATATGAACTTCTGTACAGAGTACAGCTGACTCTTTTAAGATCTTAGTGGTCAATTTTTCAAAAATGCAGTATTCACTTAATATGTATTTTTCATTGACCAAGAGCTGACAATGGGACCAGCCAATGGGACCAGCAGACGGCATGACGGTTACATTGCTGGGTCCCCACAGAGTAGGCCATGCTTTGAGTCCTAGACCCAATGACTCATGCCAGGCGTGTGTGTTTGTGTGCCTAAGATCTTGAGAGGAGAATGGAGGAGTGACCATCCCCCCGGGGGGGCGGTGATTTCTCACTTTCTGTCTCTCTGTCTCTCTGGCAAGCACACACCCTATAGCAAAAATCTCTCAAAAATAAAGGAAAAAAGGAAGAATTCTCCAGCTGATAGCCAAGCCTGCCATTCTCACCAAGCTGTGAGCAGCCAGATTGACTGCCCCGTTTAGGGTTTGCAGGCCTAGTTTTTATTCTGGTACCCTCAGAAGGGTGTGTTACATCTGTAGCGTTTGCCGTAGAATTGCTGTTGCTAAGATTTGTGGTCCTATTGAAGATCAAAATCATTTTCGCGCTCTACCTGGCGGCAGGTCAATAGCATGGCGAGCGGCAGTGTGGGAGCCGCCGGCCGGCTGTGGGTGCCAGTGCACACGTACAGCCAAGACCCCGGCGAGCTGGAGACTATGGGAGGGGACCACAAGAAGCCAGACCCTGCCACGGCGTCATTCCTCTCTTTCTCTGGTGTACACATGCATGCAATTTCTATCATGAATAGAATAAAACTTAAAAAAAGAAAACTTTTTTTTTTTTTTGGGAGAGGTTTTCGCTATAGGGCGCGTGCGCTCGCCAGACAGACAGAGAGAGAGACAGAGAGACAGAAAGCGAGAAATCATCCACCAGGGGGATGGTCACGCCTCAATCCCTTCTCCTCCATTCTCCTCTCGGGATCTTGGGCATGCACGCACACGCGCCCGGCGTGAGTTCTAAGCCACTGGGTCCAGGACACGAACTGCAGTTGACTACGTGGGAGTCCAGCGACATAGCCATTACGCTAACTGCTGGTTCCCAAAAAAAGAAAGCTTTGAAGGCTTCATAGCACGGTGGTTAATCACCGTGTGAAGGGGATTGTACCCCATACCTCAGCTGACCACGGGTCAGATCCTAGCCCCAGTAGCTTGAAAACACGCCAGGCATATGTGCATGTGTGCCCGAGAACCTGATGGGAAGGAGGAATGGAGGAAGAGGAATGGAGGCATGAATGTACACCGTAGGAGAGCGCTCTCTGTGTCTCCAGCAAGTAGACATGCCCTCTGGCAATTGGAAAAAAAAGACAAAATTATTTTAACTTACTTTTAAAGCTACATTAATCTTCAGAATATTGTTGTAAGACTTGGTTACTCAGGACACCTACTATAATCAAACTTTCTTTGTAGGAAAAGGGCTTGTGAACATCTTTTAGCCATTTTGCCACTGGATATTTTAAATATTAATGCAGTTTGAACTCTTCAGTGTTTAGGGAATAAAAACCATCTTTTCTCTTTCCGTTTTCAGGGACAGACCCAAAGCCTGAAGCAGAAGGCCTCAGCGGCCCAGGCAGTCCAACCAACCCACTCGAGGGCATCGCTCACGGGGAAGTCGTGTACCCGGAGATCTGCACGCTGGAGCTGTACCTGCTCTCTGCTGGTAAAGCCAGACTGGAGCTGCTGACCCATGTATTTGACAGCTTCTTGAAAATCATCAGGCAGAAAGAAAAGAATGTTTTTCTGCTCATGCAACAGGTAAGAGATGCATTTGGCTAAATGAGGTGGACTTTATCTGACCCCTGCCCCAGTTATTCACCCACTTACTAGTAACCCAATAGGTCTGGAATTATATGAGATGTTACTTCTTTTTTAATACTTGAGGTGTGTTTTTACGTACAAGCAGTATTTAGAATCTCCTAATTCCATAGTTCCCTAAAGTAGCATAAAAAATTAACGTTCTCATTGACTACACAATAAGGAATACTCATATGTTTCTGAGAATGACAACATTTTTTGAATTGTCTTTAATTTTCATATGTGTTTGTTATTTTGAAAAATCAGAAAATTCACAAACTCTATAAAAAGAAAATGAAACTGTGCAGTTTTCCACATAGCACCTTCCCAGTCTTGTAAAATAAGTGAATACGTGTATGTACAGCAGCACCTTCCCAGGCGTGTAGAATAAGTGAATACGTGTATGTATGTACAGCAGCACCTTCCCAGGCGTGTAGAATAAGTGAATACGTGTATGTATGTACAGCAGCACCTTCCCAGGCGTGTAGAATAAGTGAATACGTGTATGTATGTACAGCAGCACCTTCCCAGGCGTGTAGAATAAGTGAATACGTGTATGTATGTACAGCAGCACCTTCCCAGGCGTGTAGAATAAGTGAATACGTGTATGTATGTACAGCAGCACCTTCCCAGGCGTGTAGAATAAGTGAATACGTGTATGTATGTACAGCAGCACCTTCCCAGGCGTGTAGAATAAGTGAATACGTGTATGTATGTACAGCAGCACCTTCCCAGGCGTGTAGAATAAGTGAATACGTGTATGTATGTACAGCAGCACCTTCCCAGGCGTGTAGAATAAGTGAATACGTGTATGTATGTACAGCAGCACCTTCCCAGGCGTGTAGAATAAGTGAATACGTGTATGTATGTACAGCAGCACCTTCCCAGGCGTGTAGAATAAGTGAATACGTGTATGTATGTACAGCAGCACCTTCCCAGGCGTGTAGAATAAGTGAATACGTGTATGTATGTACAGCAGCACCTTCCCAGGCGTGTAGAATAAGTGAATACGTGTATGTATGTACAGCAGCACCTTCCCAGGCGTGTAGAATAAGTGAATACGTGTATGTATGTACAGCAGCACCTTCCCAGGCGTGTAGAATAAGTGAATACGTGTATGTATGTACAGCAGCACCTTCCCAGGCGTGTAGAATAAGTGAATACGTGTATGTATGTACAGCAGCACCTTCCCAGGCGTGTAGAATAAGTGAATACGTGTATGTATGTACAGCAGCACCTTCCCAGGCGTGTAGAATAAGTGAATACGTGTATGTATGTACAGCAGCACCTTCCCAGGCGTGTAGAATAAGTGAATACGTGTATGTATGTACAGCAGCACCTTCCCAGGCGTGTAGAATAAGTGAATACGTGTATGTATGTACAGCAGCACCTTCCCAGGCGTGTAGAATAAGTGAATACGTGTATGTATGTACAGCAGCACCTTCCCAGGCGTGTAGAATAAGTGAATACGTGTATGTATGTACAGCAGCACCTTCCCAGGCGTGTAGAATAAGTGAATACGTGTATGTATGTACAGCAGCACCTTCCCAGGCGTGTAGAATAAGTGAATACGTGTATGTATGTACAGCAGCACCTTCCCAGGCGTGTAGAATAAGTGAATACGTGTATGTATGTACAGCAGCACCTTCCCAGGCGTGTAGAATAAGTGAATACGTGTATGTATGTACAGCAGCACCTTCCCAGGCGTGTAGAATAAGTGAATACGTGTATGTATGTACAGCAGCACCTTCCCAGGCGTGTAGAATAAGTGAATACGTGTATGTATGTACAGCAGCACCTTCCCAGGCGTGTAGAATAAGTGAATACGTGTATGTATGTACAGCAGCACCTTCCCAGGCGTGTAGAATAAGTGAATACGTGTATGTATGTACAGCAGCACCTTCCCAGGCGTGTAGAATAAGTGAATACGTGTATGTATGTACAGCAGCACCTTCCCAGGCGTGTAGAATAAGTGAATACGTGTATGTATGTACAGCAGCACCTCCCCAGGCATGTAAAGTCAGTAAATATGTGTGTGTGTGTACAGCAGCACCTCCCCAGGTGTGTAAAGTCAGTAAATACGTGTATGTGTATGTAGAGTAGGCCGCTAGCAGATTACTTGTTATGACATTGCATTTCCTCATGCTTATGTGAGGCAAGAAATTTAATTTCTTATGTTTCATTTTTTAATCTTCAGGGAACTGTGAAAAATCTTTTAGGAGGCTTCTTGAGCATTTTAACGCGGGCCGATTCTGAATTTCAAGGTGAGTTGAAACTACAAAGCTTCGAGATTGTTCTGCTATGTGACAGTCAGTAGTAGTGGGCTCACTGGCACTCGCTCGGGTTTCAAGGGTACTTTGCGTACCGACTCATGTGTTCCTCAGACACACACGCACGCACCCGGTGAAGTGGATGCAGGGTCGATACCTGCGTGGAGGAGAGGTCCTGCCTTCCCAGGGACTGAGCTGTCCACAGCCCTGTGCGTGGACGCGGCACAGAGGAGTGAGCCCTGTCTAGCACTGCTGCTGCCATGCCCGTGGCTGACGGAGTGCTGCCCCCTGCTGCTGCCTTCAGCCTGCAGAGCAGTTCAGTTCATGGCAACACAGCTCCAATGAGGAGACGCCCAGGTCTCAGTTGGATAACTAGGCACGACTTACAGGGAATGTTCGTGTGCATCTGCGTGGTTTCCATGGAATCACACTCAGGTTGTGCATTTTGGGCAGGAGCACTCGGAGGTAATGCTAGAGGGCACCACGCCAAGGACCCGTACTCCCTGGTCCTGCTGCGGTGCACAGCTTTCATGCATGGTCAAAGTCACCTGCTAGGTTTCTTTATGTAAAGGTACTGTTTTCCCTTGATAATTAGCATCTCTTGAAATAACTTAATACTGTAAATATCCTTTTCCTCATTTCTACTTTACCTAGCTCATTAATTCTTAGCATTCATTGATAATTCTTGACTGGAAGAGTTCCTGCGTGGTGTTTGCCAAGCAGTCGCTTTCTGCTTTTGGTATTTCTTCTTCATTAGTCAGGTTTGCCATGGAAGGCGTCACCTCTCTCTTGGCTTATTTAATGTGTGGTATATAGTTTCTAACTGCGATAGGCACTTAGTGAACCATTTTGATCTGAAGATTTATTTTCATAAATAAATCTGTTTTCATCTTAGCTCTTTTTTTTGTTCCATTATTGTTTGATAACAACTTTATTGGGCTGGCCCCACAGCTCAGTGTTAAGGGAGCCAGGTCCACGTGACTGACCATGGTTTCAATACCTGTCTTGGGGACTTGAGAAACACACAGGGCACGTGTGCGCTTGCACGCCCAAATCCTGCAGAGCGAGAGTAGAGGAGAAGGGATTGCAGCGTAGCTGGGCCCCACTGGGGGTTCTCTGTCTCTCTCACTGGCTTTCTCTTTCTCTCCCTAGCACTCTCTCTTTCTTTCTCTCTCTCTCTCTCTGGTGAATACACATACCCTCTGGCAAAAAAAAAAAAAAAAAAAAAAAAAACTTTATTGAGGTTTAATTTCACATGCCATACAATCCACCCACTTAAAGTGTACTATTAAGTGTTTTTTATTATATTCAGAGTTGTGCAATAACCGTCACAATTAACTTTAGAACAGTTTCATCACCCCCAAACGAAACCTCGTCCCTCTTAGCAGTTGCTCCGTCTCCCCCTAAGCCGCCCTGTGCCCCTCCCCGTCCTCTGGCCGCTGTTACTTGCTGCAGCTCTAGACCTGCTGTCCTGCGTATTCAGAAAGGGGCCGTGTGGCCCTGTGACCGCCTTCCATGTAGCCGTGTTTTCAGTGTTCGTCCTGTTGTGTGCTCCAGCACTTCTGTTTTTGCATTTTATTTTAGTTTTTATTGTGCATGGATGGCTTTTTAGTTTTGATTAATAGACTTCATCTTTTAGACTAGCTTTAGACTTACAGAGAAATTGAGTATAAAGAGGACGAAGGTCCCCATTGCTCCACGCCCTGTCAGTTTCCCTGTTATGACATCCCACGGCTCGTGCTTTGGTAACAGTCAACGAACCTATATTCGTATGTTTGATTGAGAAGCGTTCTTGGTTGATTTGGATTTCATGAGTTTTTACCCAGAGTCGTTTCTCTGCTCATGTACCCTGCCCACGACGGCACATGACACACCCTGGGCACCTGTGGTCATGGCAGTTTCTGAGACTTCCAATGTCCTCGATGACCTTGACTTTTTAAAAAATATTATTTATTTAATTTTATTTATCACTATTGTTTTTTAATTTGCTACAGGGCACACATGCTTACCAGAGAGAGAAAGCAGGCCACCCGGTCAGGGTCTCGTGCTGCAGTCGGCCATGTAGGCGTCCAGTGCCTTAACCGCCAAGCCTCCTGCTGGCCCAGTCTTGACCTCTTTGAGGAGTGCGGGGCAGGTGTATTAGAGATGCCCTGCTGGGATTTAGCTGGTACTTCCTCACTGTGCTGTGGCACTTCCCTGCTGGTTGGTGCTGTTCGGTATCTCATGAGCTCATTGGCCGCTGGCGTGCCTCGTGTGGAGAGATGTCTGCTCAAGTCCTCTGCCCATTCCCGCATCTCTCCTTGTTGAGTCTTAGGAGCTCTCTGTGTATTCTGGATGTTAACCCTCTGTCAGGCAGTGTGTAGGTATTTCCTCCCATTCTTTGGCTATCTTCTTGCTTGCTTGATTTACCTTGAAACATATATATATTTTTAATTTTGTGGAAGTCTAACTTACCTATTTTTTGCTTTAGTGCTTCCCTTTTAGGCCCATACGAGGCAGGTCTGATCCAAGATCAGGAAGATTTATTATTTTTAAAATCTTCTTGTCCTGTCCGTATTCTTGGGTTTTTCTTCTTACATTCGAATTGTAATCCTAGACCTTCTGAATTGGGCCCCTGTGTGTCTGATATTTTCTTCTCTTTCCTTTTCTGCTATATTCTCGGAGTATTTCTTCTATTTCAACCTTTCATTGAATTGTTTGAAAATGCCAGCGAGTGTGCAGGCTTGCCTGAGAGAGAGGGAGAGACTGACAGCGAGAGAGAGAGAGATGGGGAGAGAGGACCCCTCAATGGGGCAGTCACACCGCAAGCTCGTCTCTCCCGTCTCTTCATTTCGTCGATTGGGTACACAACGCCTGGTGTGTTTCCAAGCCGCTGGGACTGGGCTAAAACTGTTCAGCCGTGTGGGGTCCAGGTCCCTCAATACAGCTATGAGGCCAGCCTTCAGTTTTCGATTTCGATCATTGTGTTTTAATATTTAAGAGCTCTTGTTTGTTTGTTTTCTGGCTATTTTCATATGAGGACGTAATTTTTTCACCTGTATCTGGACATGGTAGTGAACATGTAAAGCTTCTTCTGTCCCATAAGTTATGTCTTCTCTGCTGGAGTCAGCTTATCAGTTTGTTTTTTTATCTTGGTTTTATTCTTTTAGGTTGTTGACCAACATTTCACAAACTTTTCTTGCCCGTTTTTATTTAATAAATTGGACGTTCTTCTAATGTTATAAAAGCAAATTTGTTTTCCTTTTTGGCCTCATCCCAAATAGACATTCTATGGAAGAGCCCAGAGTGGGTATGCCTGTGCACGGCGAGAGCTTACTCTGAGGGACCATTGGGACCTCTATTACCCATGTGGCACTTCGTGCACCTTAGAAAAACGTGTCGTCCACACGTCGGGCTTGGCTGATGAGTGATGCCTTTGTGCTGTGAAAGGGCACGTGTCATCCCCACAGCCACACAGCCATGCCAGGAGGGGCGCTAGAAGCACACATGCAGGTCCACAGGCCCTTTGCTGGGCAGCCGGCAGGCCTGCAGGCCGCGCTGGTGCTGACGGCTCACTGCCTGCCTGCGCTCTGGCCCGGCAGCCGTTCTGTAACTTTAGAAAGGGTACTGGAGTTGCTCTAAAGCGGAAGGGCATTCCCTGTGCGCTCTGCTGAGAAGCGGGGTGGTGGGCCTGCCTTCCCAGCCCAAGCACGCATTGCCCTTGGGGCTGCGTTGGCCTCTTCCCCAGATGTTAGCGGGACAGCAGGACAGCCACTGCTCTGAGCTCCTGTCACTCACAGCTCTGGATGGCACCTTTCTCTTCTCTCTGTCTGCTTTC